CCTGCCCCTTTCACCAAAATGGCTGTGCATAGCCTTTAGAAGGCTTCCAGAGTGCTCCTGGGGGCTGCGAAGGGCAGAAATGACTGAAAAACGAGCCATTTTGTGCTCAATTTTGCCCCCCCCCAGCCCCCAGGAGCACTCTATAAGCCCCCTAAAAGCTATGTGTGCCCTTTTTTGACAAAAAATGGGCCAATTTTCACGAAAAATGGCCCATTTTGAGGAAGTGTGCAGAGTTGAAAGACTTTTTTAAAAAATTTGCCTCTTCAAAATCTTGGTGTGTCTTATACTCCAAAAAATACGGTACTTCCATTCCCAGGGAAATCTGTGGAGACCCCAGAGTGAAGTGCAAGGTTTAGAGTGGTTCATTGGGTGTGAAAATATGTGAAAATGTTTTGGAATTTCTCTGCTTCCTGCCCTGCCTGCAAAGTCTTTCATGAAGCATTTTAAATCTTGTCGAAAGTTCAGGCAGAGTATGGCTTTGGCAGGCTGGAGACAGGAAAAAATTGGCTGTAGGCTGCTTCCCATTGAGCTGGCTAGACAAGTGTTTTGCATTAGATACTGCTAGGCTGCTCATGATGCAGCCATACGAGTTATCCTGGATATTTCCGGCTGCCAGAAAAAAGAAAGTTGAGGCTTTGTCAGGAATCGGCCATCTGCGAAGATGTTAATGAGTCTTACTTTGGCTGTTCTTCCACCTTCCTTCTCTATTATCCATTTCTGGAAAACTGGATATACCAGATGCAACAAACAGGTGCTGGATCTGAAAAAGTTGTGTGCATACAGAATCCAAGACACTGGGGAAGTGAGAAGTAGAAGGCCAGTAGGAGAGACATCATGTAGGAAAGACATCCATGTTCTCCAACCTGTCATAGCTGAGGAATCTGGGAGTTGTGGTCTCAGAGGGGACTTTCTCTTGAGGAAGATGGCTTACATGTTCTTGAATAAATCTTTCCCAAGTCTGGGACAGCATAGGTTATTTGAGTTGTTTATGTTCTACTAGCTGATAACCCGGAGTTGCCAAGGTTTTTTATTTATAGAGGGAAAATTTCTGGACCAAATGTAATTTCTAATGTTGGATTTCCCCCCTTACCAGATGGAGCCCCCTTGTGGAGTACTGTGAAGCNTATATATATATATATATATATATATAGGATATATATATGGTGTGTATGTGTATATTAAGAGATTAACAGAGTTGGAAGGGACCGTGTGTCTGTGTGTGTGTCTCTGTGTTTGTATGTTTGTGTGTGTGTGTGTATGTGTGTTCCAGCATAACTCTGGAATTCCTCGAGCAATTTCAACCAAATTTGGTACACAGAAGACTTAATCTCTTGAAAAAAATACTATAGGGGTAAGACCCCTTCACACCCCTTGGGGTGTGTTTTAAATTTCTTGCAGATTATGTTGATATTTTCTTCAAATTTCATGAGCGCTAGGCAATTCAAGAAAGTTAATGCTTAAATTAAACATATGGTTTGATCCTAGGCTACTTTACTTTCCACACCAACCAACAGGAGGTATGACATGACCCATTGACACGATATGAATTATTGAAAAAATTCCTCTACAATAAAATTCTTGAACAAATTTCAATTGTTATAACACAACAGTTGCAATTCTATAACATGTTCCAGAGAGAGATTTGCTGAATCAAAACAGAAAGAATCAGTATACATATAGACTTCCACTCTACATTTCTTTAATAGAAGACTATTTAAATAATTATGGAGAATAGTTTCACATTTTTCTAGAAGATTGCTTTTTATCATGTCTGCCATGTTATTTTGCTCTTTAAAAAAAAATCTTGCTCAAAACAGATAAATTGCCTGGAGCAGAACACTGTTAGATAGGAATACAGGCTGATTTGAAAATATTTTGAAATGAAATTGAGATTCTGAGAGAATTTCTGACACATCCAAAGTAGCCCCCTTTAGACCCCCAAAATTATTAACTTATTTTGTAAAGTCATAATATTGCCACTGGATTTGGTCAATGAATAATATAGTGTTTCCTATGTTGGAGTCTATCAGAATTTTAGCTAATGAATTTGGGAGGTTAGGGTTTCAGAACATCTGGAAGGCATTTGAAAGACTGGGAAATGATCACTTGGTGCAAAATGCCCCCCGTACCTGCCCCTCCCTGTCATGACCATAATGTTCCGGCCCACCCCCATGCCTGTAGACCCCCCCCCCCCCCCCGTAGCCTCCGCTCTCTCTGGCAGGCCATTTAAACCAGGCATTCATTTTGGTAGAGAGGTTGTTGCCCTTCTAATTTAATGTATTTTGGAAGAGGGATTGATTGAAAATTACAATGCAATAATGTCACACTTGTGGAAAGAGCCAGACATTTCCATTTTTTAGAGGATACTGGGGGTGGGGATTGGGAGTATTGTTTAGATGCATTAAAATTGCTTATTATTTCAAGAAGCATACAAATCAGCAGGAAATTGTGTGTCTAGTTTTAGTAGTTGGTTTCAATTTTCAAGGGCCTAACTTCTGAGGGGTTGGGACCTGTTTCTTTTGCAGCTGCGGGCCTTAAGTTGTCCCACTTCCGACCTGAGTACCATGTTCTCCTTAATAATCTTCTTCATTCTATCATTTTTATTTTTTTTGGCTTGGCCTACTAGCATTGTAACCCATATATCTGAAGTTCCCTAGAAATATTCTACAAATTTGTGAAGCATACAGTTGCTTAAAGAAGTGTTTTCTAGATTAAGAAGAAAAGGGGGATGTAAAGAAGAACAAATCTTTAGCATTATACAAAAATTATATTTAAAACTTATTTTCCCCTGGAATTGTTCTCACAGCATTAACTATTCTAGAAAACCCAATACTGCTATTTGTTTAGGATGAGCAATGTATCGTTCAATTTCCCTTGGCCAAAAGACCAGAAGAAGCTGTTTTTACTTTTTAATGTTGATTAGTATCTAAAATGAACACAAAAAGAGGGTAAACAATCTATTGCTGGCCAAGATTGTAGTAGGTTTCAGGGATATGGTAGGTCTGGAACAGTGGTGCGTTCCGGATTTCATCCCAACTGTACCAGTTGGAACGGGCCTGGTGGCATCCACATGGATTTGCACAGTGCGCACATGCATCTTACCGCTTCTGCAAGCCTCCTTGATGCTCCAGCTGCTCAGCGGAGCATCGCGCAGGCGCTGTACAAGCCATGCGTGTGCACAGAAGCTCAGAAGATTTAAAAGACCAGTAAGGATCTCGGGCGGGCAGATGGGCCCTCCGGAGCACCATACCAGAACGGTATCCAGTGCTCAGGGCAGGCTCTGGTACATCCGTATCGGGGCATACCGCCTGTAACCCACCACTGGTCTGGAACATCCAGGTGATTCCACTTTTGAGAGATGGAAACATTATATAAAAAATAAAGAAAGTACAAATAAGGTGAAAACATCCAAGGCTCACCCTAACTAGGATGGCTAGGCTATAAAAGATCATGAACGAAACAGGTTAGCAGAGTAGTCCTTGAAAGTATTGGGACATATAGAGCACAGTGTTCATGGGAGCAATGAAAAAAAGAAAAACAAGATGGCAGCCATGCAGTAAAATCAAAGCCCCATCCCTTTGTATTTTTTGTCACATAGAAAAGAGCAGGAGTTTGATCATACAGCAACCACCTTCTTTAACACATAATACACCCCAGTGGGTACCACTGGTTAAACATGCCCTTCTCAGTAAGTGTAAATCAGTTTGGTCTGTATTTAAAAACCACAATCAGATGCTTTCCAATTGCTTTAATTTGACTTTCCAGTTCTGTTTCCAGTTCTACATATCCCTTTCCTATTATTGTTGTTGTTTCTAGATTTTTTGAAGGGAGAGGCTTTAATAATAAGCAATGGTTAATAAGCCATTTATTCCTCAGCAATAACTTTTACATTATTCATAATACCTTTGAATCTTTTTGGAGCAACATGCAGCTCGCGAAGCAATGTGTCTTTCACTCCCACCCATACAAACAACAAAAGACAGTATTTCTTTTTTCAAAACTGTTTGCTCAATAGAAAAATACTTTAACAAACATATATACACATATCAGGGAATTCATGAACAATCTGGAATAGGGGGAAAAACCTTGTATACATCTGTCTGAATGCCCAGGCAATTATATTTTTTTATTAACAAGGCAAACAGTACAACTGAGAAGGAAAAAACAAGTCTTCCTTAAATTTTCTACACTGCATCCTTCATAGTCAACAATGGATGAACATACTAAGTTTCTGAATAGTGCCTTGAAACACTAAGGTTGCTGTAGTTCTTTATAATATAATCAAATCTAGAAATCGAGAGAGAGAGAGAGGGAGGGAGAGAGAGAGAGGGGGAGGGAGGGAGGGAGAGAGAGAGAGAGAGAGAGAGAGAGAGAGTGCATGGCACAGAAAACAGACACTTAGGCAACTGCAGAGAAGCAAGGAAGGGAATTGACAAAACCGTGTGACACTGTCATCACACAACTGTGGCTAACATACTTGTATCAGACATTGGAACAATAGAACAACATGACACATTTGCATAATGCAACATCATGTTCATATTGTTGTTTTGGCATCATCATGGTTTGCTGCATATACCACTGTTCATAGAATTACAATACCCAACAGAATGCAAATTCATTCTGGACCCAAGCTACTTTTGGAAAGAAAAGTACCACTTGAGCATTGTCCTCCAGGAGCTTCTTCTGCAAAAACTCCTATATATGGAGCATAGTATAATTCGGAGCAATCAACATGTACCAAATTTATTAAATAACCATGTAACATACAACTTTCTATGGGTTTTCCATGGAGATTTGCCATTTATTTCCTTGGATCTTGTGAAGAAGAAGCTCCAGTTGGATTGTGCCTTATTATCACCTTAATATATGTAAATCTAAGCAAGTCAAAGTGCATTACTGAAACATTGTTTGTACCAGCCTTACATATAAATACACACAAACAACATTTCTCATTACACTTTTGTCAGGACAAAATAAAACCAGGGAAACTGAAGGTAACACCTCAGCCAATGCTTGAAGGAAACATCCCTCTGATAAAATGTCAAAAGTTGAGAAATAAATCTTAAATGGTGTACCTTTATTGTTCAGCAAATAGTGCACATTAGAATTTCTTTTAAATCCACATCAGAAATACCTCAAACAATTCAAACCTGTGTAAAATGAATGGAGTTTTTTAAAAAAAAGAAAAAAGAAAACAAAAAGCCAGAATGAAAATTATGTTTTGCTCACAAATAGTACTTCACCAAAGCTCTGGTGTGAAGGTAAATAAGTTCCGTACATTTCCTCATAGATACCTGAAAAAGAACACCATACAACATGAAAAAATTTCAATGTCAATAGCCACACAGAACTGAAGAAGCTTGGGTCCAAACAGCTGGGAGACAAGGGAAAACAAGAGCAGAAGGATGAAGTCTCAGTTCAATCCTTTTGTAAACCTCGAACAAACACAAAATGAGCTGCCTGCATATTTCAGCCCTTCTGTATTAAACTTTTCAAAAATGCAACTAGCAAGACCTATGTTTCATTGGTGACATAAGCAGGAAATTGTTCTGTACACCTGGATGCTCATTCTTTATAGGTACCCCTTATTCGCTCTGTCTTAGATAAAGAAGGAAGAAGAAAGGGAGGACATGCATACAATCCAGATATCAGGTGTTCTGGGATGCTCTGTGCTGGTTCATCATCGCTGGGCATTGTTCTCGATGGGAAGAAGGGAATGATGGAGGCCTCTTGTATGCTTAGGATCTAATGTTTCATGTTCCTCCGTGAAACTGTCTGGGCTTCCTGCTCCATCTAATGAGCTTTCACAGCTTGAATTTGGGGACAACATGTCCTGAAGAAGGTCTTCTTGCACTATGCCAGTCTCTTTGTTTACTTTACCCCTCTGGTTCCCTTCCTCTTCTTGGTCATTGAGCAGTTTGGCCAAGAAGTTGATGTATTTCATAGCCAGGCGTAATATTTCATTCTTGCTGAGCTTTTTGTCCGGTGGGTGAGTTGGGATGAGCTTCCGAAGCTCAGCAAAAGCTCCATTGACATTCTGCTGCCTCCATCTCTCGCGGCTGTTTGTGAATATTCGACGGACCACTTTTGTGTGAGGGCCTAAAGAAGACCAGAAATGTAAAGTTAGTTACAGAAAAACAGCCTGAATGCCAGCTAGCTAGCACACATGCATCTGTTAGTAAAAAAAAAAAAAAGGGAGGGGGTTAAAGTTAAATAAATGTTGTTCCATAAGTTGGGATCAGAGCATCTGATACATATAGAAAACGAATATGAAAACAAAGTGGCTTTGTTGTTATTTTCTTCTGTAATAATAATTTAAATGTTAAAGCCTAGTGGAAACAAAATAACAAGATATTTGGATGTTAGGAGGGTTGCCAGCCATGAAAAAGACATTTCATTTTTGGCTTGCTAAAAATGGATATTGGATATTGGATATTTTGAGAAATTGATACCTTTCTCAAAATATCCTCCTACATCAGCACCACAAAAATCAGATTAGGAACACAAGTTGAAATAGGGAAGAAAATGGTAAGTGAGCACCTGTCTACCCTTGACGGGTTCAAATCACCAGGACCGGATGGATTATACCCCAGGGTTCTGAAGGAACTGGCAGACGAGATCTCAGAACCACTGAATTATATCTTTCAGAGATCCTGGAGCACCGGGGAACTGCCAGAGGACTGGAAAAGAGCTGATATGGTTCCCATCTTCAAAAAAGGGGAAAAACCAGATCCAGGAAACTACACACCTATCAGCCTGACCTCAATACCAGGAAAGATTCTGGAAAAGACAATCAAGCAATAAATTAGCGAACACTTAGAAGCAAACCAAGTAATAGCCAAAAGCCAACATGGGTTTGTCAAAAACTGATCATGCCAGACTAATCTTATTGCATTCTTTGAAAATGTGACAAAATTAGTGGCCCAGAGGAATGTCATCGATATAGTTTACTTGGACTTCAGTAAGGCATTTGATAAGGTAGACCATAACCTACTACTACATAAAGTAGAAGAATGTGGGTTAGACCGCATCACCACCAGGTGGATTCGTAACTGGCTGACCAACCACACTCAATGTGTAGTCCTCAATGGAACTGCATCTACATGGAGGGAAGTATGCAATGGAGTACCCCAAGGCTCTGTTTTGGACCCAGTACTCTTCAACATCTTCATCGATGATTTGGATGAGGGCATAAATGAGGAACTCATCAAATTTGCAGATGACACCAAGCTGGCAGGAATAGCCAACACTCCAGAAGATAGGCTAAAGATACAGAAGGAGCATGACAAACTTGAACATTGGGCAAAATGAAATGAAATTCAATGGTGAAAAGAGTAAGGTTCTACATTTAGGCAACAAAAATGAAATGCACAGGTATAGTATAGGTGGTACCTTGCTCAACAGTAGTAACTGTGAAAGGGATCTTGGAGTCCTAGTGGACAACCATTTAAATATGAGTCAGCAGTGTGCAGCAGCTGCCAAAATAGCCAACACAGTTCTAGGCTGCATAAACAGAGGGATAGAATCAAAATCACGTGAAGTGTTCATACCACTTTATAATGCCTTGGTAAGGCCACACTTGGAATACTGCATTCAGTTTTGGTCACCACGATATAGAAAAGATGTGGAGACTCTAGAAAGAGTGCAGAGAAGAACAACAAAGATGATTAGGGGACTGGAGACTAAAACATATGAAGAACAGTTGCAGGAACTGGATATGTCTAGTTTAATGAAAAGAAGGACTAGGGAAGACATGATAGCAGTGTTCTAATATCTCAGGGGTTGCCACAAAGAAGAGGGAGTCAAACTATTTTCCAAGGCACCTTAGGGTAGAACAAGAAGCAATGGGTGGAAACTAATCAAGAACAGAAGCAACTTAGAACTGAGGAGAAATTTCCTGACAGTTAGAACAATTAATCAGTGGAACAGCTTGCCTCCAGAAGTTGTGAATGCCCCAACACTGGAAGTCTTTAAGAAGATGTTAGATAGCCTTTGTCTGAAACAGTATAGGATTTCCTGCCTATGCAGAGGGTTGGACTAGAAGACCTCCAAGGTCCCTTTCAACTCTGCTATTGTATTGTATTGTATTATCAGTGAGCCTCCAGCTGCAGGCATATCTCATGGCAGTAATAATAGCCCATCATTTTGAATTTTACTCAAAGGCCCACAAAATGCACTGTTCTGAGCCCTTCAAAACAGTTAAAAATGAGCCTAAATGATCATTTTTTAACATTATTCATTATTTTAGTTTATCATAAAAAATAAAATACAAAACAGTAAAACAAACAAATAAAATAAAATAAAAATATACATTCAACCCTCACAACAACAACAAAGAAAAAATAGTGTGCAAAAAAAGAGGAAAAATATTCAATTAAATTTAACATTTAACACCCTGGCTGGATTCTGAAAAAAAAAAAGCAGTAAATTTTCATCCCTAAATATTCCTTAATGAAATGGGGAACATTGGTGATGGCCTGGGCTTAGACAAAAATATATAATATATAAATATTTAAGTAAAATTGTCCTCATATGCATTAACTGGTTAAGGCAAGAGCTGGTTTCTTGTTGATTCAAGTTAGTTTAGAATCACTCACCAGAATTGGTCAAGAATGATTAAGCAAGCATGGGAGATCGTGGTAGACCTCTCCTGCAAGTTTCATAATTTGTCTGACCAGAATAGTTCGGGTTCCATTTACAAGAAAAATAGCCTTCTTCCATACCAGTTGCTTGCTTTTTATTATTAGGAAGGTTTCTTTGAGATGAAAGAATGGTTGATGATAACCAATAAGACCTTCCTTGGTGATTCCACCAACACTATAAAATTCTCTGTCCCCTGAAGAATGGATAGTCCTTCTCCAAATATTTTTCACAAACTGGTAAGGATATTTCTATTCTGGCAGGTTTTTGCCTAACAAGTTTAAAAGCTGTTTAGCTATTAGCTTCCCTCTGTATATTTATTGCCTTGGTATCTTTATAGTACTAATTGTATTCCTTTGTGGCTTTAAATGATTGCAAGACACATTCTGTCCAGTAGCACACTGCCATTAGAAAGGCTGGGTAGAGATTCGTTTGATAGGAAAACAAATAACCAATATTGTTTGAGAAGAAACATCCTGTTCCTATGACATCCTTATTCTAAATTCCATTTTTATCAGGAATAGAGATAATTAATAGAAGCAAAGTTACACTAGTATCTTGAATTGACATTAGTGCTGGAAAATTATGCAAAACTCAGCTTCGTTGTAGGACTATGTCAGTTTGATATTATTCTACACTGGAGTACACACCAAATCAAGGATCCATCTGTTAGATATTTAATAGAAGAAGTTCCATCTGTCTAAGATAACTAGAATAAAAATATGTTTTGAAAGTGTAGCTACATCCTGGAATCATTTGTGCACATCTTAGAAATGTTGACCACTTATATTGACTATATGACAACTGAAATATAAAAGGACATGAATGGGCAGTGTGAAAGTATGACAAAGAGTGTTCTGTAAAGGATTGGTCCAAAAATAAATACAGACAAATAGTGATTCTTTGAAGCATTGGAACATCAATTGACCAGAGTTACAGATGTTTTCAGAAAATATTGAGATGGTCTCTATTTTTTCAGAAGTTTAATATGTATTTTTCCTACTAAATACTTTTCACATAACTATAGCATTTTTAAGTTTTTAAATGGTCCAAGCCTAGAGTCTCTTATGTATAACTACCCATATACGAAAACAGATTTTTGTAGAAATCAAATACAATTTAGGGTTGCTTTTTCATATGATTGATTGCTATTTCTAGTTTATCCTTATCATTGTGGTTTTTGTTAATTTTGAAAAGTAATGAAATTTCTGGAAATGGAACCAAATTCAATATTGAAAGTATAAATCACAGGTCTGCGACTAAAAAGCTGTTTGATTATTTTCATCTAATTTCCATGTATTTTGGTGTGCTGAAAACAAATAAAATATTGAAAAAACTTCTAGACGTCATGATTTGCCACGACATGCAAAATTGTCTTCAAATTTATCATTTTTTTATTTTTCATATTTTT